TATGAAGATGAGGCAGCCATTTCTTTCATTAGAGCCAGCATTCTTATTGGAATCTAAGATGTTAACTACAATTTAAGTTAAATAAATATATTACATATATGAATATGCACATATATAAATGCTATTTTAAGAACTCATCATCGATAGCAAAAAGCGTTCCCCAGCTAGTCAATCAAGCTGGGATTCCCCCTATTATTATGACAACAATTGATTCGTATATTTATTCATTTCTTTATTCCTCTCTTTATTTGCGGCAATCTAACATCTGTTTTCTTTACTCGTTTAGCGATATACAGAAGAGTATATTAGTTCTGAGTAAGGTCTGTTAATCCGTTGCTAACCGTTGGTTAGTTCATCTGTTCGTTCGCGTGCTTGTCCGACTGCCCATTCGTCTATCCCGTTCGACTATCCCTTCGTCTGTTCATCCGTTTATCTGTTCGTCTGTTCAATCTGTCTCTACGTCTATGCTTACGGCTGTCCGTCTTTCTTGTCCACCAATCTGATCATCCGTTCGTTCGTCCATCTATCGCCGATCTGTAAATTCATCTGTCAATCCGTTCGTCCGCCCATCCATCGGTCCGTCCGTTCATCTGTCCGTCCGTCTATCCGCCGCTCTTTTCTTTCATCAAACCTTTTGCATTTCCATTCGTCTGTCTGTCCGCATGTTGTTGGTACTCAGACCTTCTGATGCGCCCATTAAGGGCGTGGCAACTGGGTATTTACTACGACTGTTAATACAGAAACATTACTCTTTAATGCGGTAGAGACATGCAAATTGTAATATAGAAAACTCTCTAAATGATATACGAGCTGTCTATATGATTCTATATTACAAATGAAAAGCATAAAATATTTGGTAAATACATTTATCTACATCCCCTTGGGGGCGCGGCTAATGGTGTAAGCTTACGGCTGACTCAATCACTTATGAAAATACTCAACGAGTATTATGCAGTCGGTAGCATATCAAATTTCATTTTTGATTCTTATTCTTCAAAACAAAAAACAAAAACAAATTATCATGTTGAGAGTGTGAGTCACGTATCACGAGTCAGGTTTCTCATGCTCCTCTGCTGAAAACGAGCGCGTGTAGCGAGATCAGTGCCAATTGTGAGCTGAGATGCGGCGGACGTGTTCGGTTTGGCTGTTGCTGTTGTGCGCGACGGGCGCTGCGGCGGTCTGCGACTTGCGTATTGGGGAGCCGAAGCCGATCGTGGTGAAAAAGTTCGGCAGCAAGACGGCAGTGGTGAAGCGCTCATTGACTGACATCCAGCTGTCGCCGAACGAGTCAATCACCTTCCATTGTCCCACTGGTATCAGCGTGTCGCAGAGCAGCGGGCAGCCGGTCAAGATAAATGCGGAGACGGCGGAGCTGCTGTGCATGAATGATGGAATCTATTTGGACGATCATCAGATCATACAGCATCGCAGCAGCGCCACAGTCTACTGCAGCGGCGGCTTCACCCAGACCCTATACGAAAGCAATCGGCGGCTGCGCGGCTGCCCGGCCGCCGACGCAATGACGCTGATCATCGGCTACAAGCTGAACGGACTGCCGGACGTGAAGCAGTTGGGCATCTGCTATGATCTGGGCACCTCACGGCCGCGCTTCCTCAGCTACCTGGCGTATGCGCCGCGCAATCTGCTGCTCGAGCGGCAGACGGGCCAGGAGCTGGACCGACTCAAGCTGGACACCTATCTGGGCAGCTTGAGCAAATATTTTCGGTTCCCCACCAACTCGGAGTTCCAGCAGTTGGTCAGCAATCAGAAGCAGCTGGGCCAACTCTACGATGGCAAACTGTTCGAGTACGGCAGCCTGCTGCAGGAGCCACAGCTGAGCAAGGAGCTGAGCAACTACGCCGATATGCTGAGCATTGTCTGGCTGCGTGCGCTGCGCACGGGCAACTGGCAGCACTGGCTGGACGCTTTACGCACCGCCAATGGCTACACTGAGGGCGCTGCTGCTGCTCCTGGTGTCGTTGCCTCCTGCAGAGGACAGTTTGATGTGCGCCTGGGCGTCTCGGGCGTGGCAACGCTGCCCATTGCCGAAAGCTGCAATGCCAGTCGATCGCTGCTGCTGCTGGACAGCGCAGGCAATGGCATGCCTGTGCCTGCCCACATCTGGGCACATGTTCGAGCGCTGCAACCAACGGGAACTATAGCCGATGAGTTTGTTGTTGTCGCACACAATTCACCATACGTAAGCAAGCTCACGCATCCGCTCTCACTCTCTTAACCCACTCTCTCTCTCACTCTCTCTCTCTCTAACTGTTCTCTCTTGCTTGCAGTACACTGTAGCGGAGCTCGGCTCGTTCTGTGCGGACATTTGTGCTGAGATACCCTGGCTGCGGGAGAGCCTCTTTGGGCAGCTGCATTTGGTGCCTCAGTACGGCGTCGTCAATTGCTGCCGCATGGATCAGCTGCATAAGCTAGTTGACTTTTCGTTCCCAACGGCAGCGGCAGCGGCAGCGACGCCGACTGCAGCGACGCCGCCAATACCGACGTCGAGCCCTTGAATATAAACAGCACAGCATCAAAACCGTTATCCGATATTAAAGCGCACAGCTCACCAATGCCACGCTCGATCCATACTTTGTGCTCTCTGCTGTGTTTAAAAATAGATTCCCAAAGCTTCGCTTATCTTACATTTACGCATTTGAAAGCTTCTTAGCTGCTTAAATGCTGATTCTAATAGAGCTTTTAAGCTATTTGCATAAGAAGCAAAAACTACTTTTTATGTTTACGCTGAAGCGAAACGACTTTGAGTGCACTGAAAAAAATGAAGTTCTTATGCATATGAATAATTTGTATTAATATTCATTTAGATGTAAATTAATATTTTTAATAAATAAAAATTGCAGAAATCCTATATTTTTGATATATGTATTAGTAAATATGTACAGTAGAATCCCGGTAAATTCGAAATGGCAGGGAGATCAATTTTTTTTATTTTTATTTTTTTTCATTTACACAGTTATTCAAATTATCGAGAATTATTAAGAACAAATTTCTTTCAAGGGGATTAGACTTTTTCGATTTATCGCGATTTCGAATTATCAAGACTAGACTGTATATACTTATTATAATCAGGCTGTGCACTAATTGGGCAAGGCCTTGCATAACATACATACATATATATGTGTATATATATATATTACCCTCTATACATCTGTAAACCACCTCAGAGCTCAAATTACAAAGAATTTGTTTTTAGTTAATCTGAGTGTATAGAAAAATATTAATAGTCGATGAGTTTTCCCGCCTTTAGTTAGTCCAACAAGGAATCTGATAGTCAGAAACACTCACAGCTTATAGCTTAATAACTGATTTAGTGCTTTTTGTGTTGTTAATCCATTTATAGGACTTGTTAACTTGACGCCCGGCCACTTTACGATAAACATCCTTGAGCCCCAAAAACGACTTCAAATTAAAATAGTTTGGGAGTTGGGGCATTACGAGGCAATTGCCACTTAAAATCTGTCATAAAATAACGTTAAAGCGACTTAACCCTCTGTGGAGTCTGTTCGCTTTTAACTGGAGTACCAGGGCCACTTAAAATGCGAGTGCAATGATTAAATGTGCATATAAAATACGTATCTGGGGCTCGTAATAGCTGTGCACTGATTCCAATTTAGTTCGAGGGTTGTAAAACAACAAGAATAAATTGAACTTGAAAGAGATGTCGATTCCGGAATACCCTAACATAGAGAGAGAGAGAGAGAGAGAGAACTAAAAGAGCGGCAGGCGAATTGAATTGTAGATAAATATTATATATAGATAGATTGATTGAGCCAGCTATAAGTGTATATAACTGTGTAACTTTATATTTAAAAACGATAGATTAATTGAGAGTTACGTTATATAAATAAAGAGTAAGCTTATTAGATAAGTGAACTATCGATTAGTAGATACATAGATTGACGGATTGATAGAATATTTGATTGATGAATAGATGGGAGATATAGTTAAATATATATGGATTTCAATATATTGGTACTAGTTACAAATAGTTTTATAAATATGATTCTGACAGAAATAATCTGTTAAGCCTTATCCCAAAGGTATATGATTCATTTGGTATAGGTGGACATTCCAATATCATAATATCGTTGAGCTCGTATATGACATATTAATATTTATATACCCTATAAAGTCATGGCAATGCTAATGATGAAATTATTTCGCTTTTAAAAAAGTCCTTTCATATTTTGCAACGCTTTTTTTAGCTTTGTGTATGGCAATGAATATTAAAATATTTCACTATGCGTGTGTATGTGTGTGATGTTTTTTTACTTTTTGTTTGACTTCGTTAAAAAAAAAAAAACTTTTAATTGGATTGCAACCGTTTTAATACGTTCATAACGGCAAACGGCGCTCCTTTTCGACGCACAAAACTGAAAATCAATTAAAATGTTGCATAGACGGCATATGCATATGCAGCAGGGCATGGAACGAAGTGGAATGGAACAAAGCAGAAACAAACCAAAACACGGCCAGCAACAATGTTTCAACCAATGAAAAGTTTTAGCAAACGAATCAAAGTTTTCAACATTAATTTCAGTTCATTGAAATTTGATCAGGTGAAAAAGGTGTGCAGAGTCCTGTTTCATTACAGTCCTTCAATGAGTAATATGTATGTATGAGGGAACCTATATAAAAGCCAGCTAAAGTCTTACAGGTTCACAAGATAGTTAAGTAATATCTCTTGCGCAGAAATAACTTAAGATTAAACAGATAAAGATTTTTAAAAATAACAAATAATAAAAAAATAAAATCTGCAGAATACTCACTCACAAATAGCCATCAAATAAAAAGAACATTTTCTTCTGGTATGGTGGTCATTTTTTATTATTAGTTACTTTTTGTATACATTTCATTTCATATATAATATATATGTATATATATATATAATTTTTTTAGGGGTTTTTTTTTTTTTTTTTGGTTAGTTTTCTTCGTTTCCACATTTTTTTATATATAAATTTCCATCTAGTACATATATAGGTTTTCATTTCTTTTTTTTTAGCCGTAGAACAATTATCACATCTTAAATATATATGTATGTAGCTACACTTAAACATATCCATTCAATGTTTTCTGCATATGTATTTTGTGTACATCAAATATTTATCATCTTTGGTTATTTTCGTTTTATGCAAAAAAAAAAAAAGTGTATCATCAAGCACATCAACAACAACCGCTTTGAAGTACTCGAAAGTTGTCAACGAGAGTCAAAAGTACTCAAAAGTTGTTGAAATTCTCATTGCCGTATATTCATTCGCACTCAAAGCTTACACGTTTTCAATAGTACTTATACTCGTACGTATTCATTTCTATATGAACTCAATTGAGTCTATATCAATTCCTGCTCGTACCGTGCCGTATTCATAGTCATACTCTTATACATTTTCCTACTACTCATTTTAGATCCATTCGTATAGACACACTCTCTTGCACTGCTCGCATATTGAGATTTACTCCTACTCAGATGATCTTATAATGGCTTCTAATGGTATTCAGTTCATCCTAAATCACTTCTAATCATACTCAGTTGATCGTAGACTTACTTTGATTCATACCTAGCTGATCTTGTACTCACTTGTTGCTGAGCTGATCCTATACACACTTTTATTCATACTCAGCTGGCCTTCTACTTCGTTTTACTTATACCCAACTGATCTTAAACTCAATTCGATCCATACTCAGCAGATCTTCCATGTCTTTCTACTTATACTCGGCTGATCTTCTACTCATGTCGGCTCACTGATTTTATTCTCACTTCTACTCATACTCAACTGCTCTTATACTCCTTTCTATATATTTTCATCTGTTCTGAGACTCATTTCGACTCGTACGCAGCAGATCACTTCTACTAATACTCAACTGTGCTCGTTCTATACTGAACATATACTCATTTCATTTCATTCATTCTCATTCCTCTTTTCTTCAGCTGAAACTCTAAATAAACTTTGATATACCTAAATCGAAGATCGATAAAGGCTTGCTATCGATAATCGGCGACAATTGCTTTGGACACATGCCTGGCTGTTGGCTATCCAAACAAAAAAATCGAAATGGCAAAGAGAAAGCAAATGCGGCTGCAAGTGCCGGACACTTGACTTGATGTCGGGCAATTAGAGCTGTTTGATAGCTGCTGCGTGGGTTGGGTCTGGCCAGGTGGACAGACGGCTTCAGGTGGACTGGGCAGCCTTTTTATCTGACACGCGTTTCGACAGGCTCAAAAGTTGACTCATTTATATTGTATAAACAGGGCCGTCAGCTTGCATTGAAAACTGTTTCAGTCCGTGGCCCCGAGCGAGCTGCCGCTTGCTTTTGTAGCAGCAGCGACGGCAACGTCGACTGCGACTGCGACAGCTTCTCCATTTATTTTCCTTACGGCATTTCGTTTATTTTGTTTTGTTTCATTTCTTCTCTTCTCGTTTCTTTTCTTTTTGCCACATTTCTTTAACATTTTCCCTTTGTGTCATTTGCCGGTTCAGGCCGGGGCCAGCAGCTCGGTCGGCAAATTTCAAAGGCCAACAATTCATTAGTTATTTAAAGAAAGTTTTTTGTTGCCAAACACCCGACGACGTACTCGCACCGCCCCTTTGCCCTCTGTCCCTGCCCCCTGCCAAAGTCCACCCGCCAGCCTTTTGTCTTTGCCATTTCAATTGACAATAAGCGTTGATGTTGATGTTCTTGATGACAATCATCATATTCTACTATATAAACCTGACCAAAAATGTAAAAAAAGAACAACAAGAAAACAAATAAAAACATTTAGAGAGAACCTTACAAACCCGCTGCCAAAAGCATGCCATTTGTAATCGCATGTGTATGTGTTGAGTGTGTGTGTGCGTGCGAGTGTGTGTGTGTGTGTGCGTGCCATGTGCGTGCCATGTGCATGCCCCGCCCCCTTTGCCGAAATACGTAATTGGAATTCCGTATCCGTCCGCCGTGCTCATTGCTCATTGCCTAGTAGATGCACTCGCCTAGCAAATCGCAGTCGCCCTTCTCCAGGGGCTTCAGCCAGAGCGGATTGTAGTTGGGGCAGAGCTTGCGATGAATGGGTATTTTGATTTGGACTGGCGTCGGTGGCACGCCCTCCCAATTGCGCCCCTCAAAGCGCTGGCCATCGGATCGGTTGCACTGCATGCTGAGCGGCTCCTGAATGTACATCGTATATAATTGGTCCACATGCGGCTGGGTCCATTCGATAGTCCGATAATTCGCCGAACGTGCTCCGTTCAGGTGTATGCCATGCTGATGCTCCTTTCTAGATAGAGGCAGAGAGGGTGAGAGGTAGAGAGAGAGAGAGAGGAATTTTAATTTCCAGAGCTAAGCCAAATGTCCCCGCCTCGTCTGGGCGCGATTTCAGTGAGAAATTTTCATTTGCACCTCATTCCGTCGCCAATCAACTATTTGAATCCTATGGAAAATCTGATCTCTTAGAATGACAGTTTGGTACTCCAAATAGTTAGTAAGGATATGGAGTGGAACGATGGAATGAAACAAATTCAAATGAGGACGCAGAATGTGTAGTAATAGAAAGAGGCTAATCAAGGCATAGATACATACACCCAAAACATAACCTGGAACAGTGGAATGTAACAAAGACCAACACAAGCAACCTTCAGTAAAGTAAACTCAATTAAAGATCAGATGATGAAACTAAAATCTACTATTTAAGACAAATAAAACAAGCCGGAATGAAATGGAAATGAAACACTTTTAGCTGTATATTTTCCAATTCACTTTAAACTTTGTCCGCATTTCAAGCTAATTCTTTTTTTCAAAGGAATGGAATGGGAATGAAATATGGGAAGTCGACAAGCGATTGTCGGCGACTTAAAGGTAGCTCTATACATATACATATATATATATATATATCAAGCTATCTCTTTGTTTCCCTGCTATACGGCAGCCTATTTTGGCTAAGCTTTTCTTATGCCCGTCACAGCTGGCAGACACCTACGGGTTTTACCTTTTTGTGCTACGTAAATTTTCATAAGTTCTCTCATTCTCTCATTCAATCAGGCGGCCTTTGTGTGCCGGCACGAGGCTTGAACCCAATTTTTGGGCTGCCGAAAAAGTCTCGCAAGTTGCACAAGTCTCGCAAGTCTCTAATCTAATGTTCAAAAATAAAGCGAAGATGAGTTTTTACTTTTCTTTTGACGCTGGCTTCACAAACAGCCAACTAACAATGCGACGCGCCTTCAAGGACTTTGCCAGTTTAGGCCTGGGCCCATTAACGCTGGCAATTAGCGTGCACCTTGCAAAGCGCGAACGGGACGGACAGACGAACGGAAGGGCGGATGGGCGGACGGACGGATGAACAGGAAGCTGAAGACATTTCCGTTATGAATACGCTTAAAGCGCGGCAGCCGCAAACCGGAGCCGCAACAAATGCCGGAATGCCAAACTTTTGCCTTTGATGGAAGAACGAACAGAGAGAGAAAGAGAGAGACAGATAGATGAGAAAGTGCCATTAGGTTGTGTTGCCGCTGGTCTCTCAACTCGCTCAATTTCTGCTAAAGGGGAAGTCTGTGACCCCACCTCTGCCTCCACCTCCCCCATCATCTCTACTTCTCCTGCTGTTAACTCCATTGCTTTACCCCCTCTCCATCTTAATTGAAACATTAAGCACGCCCGCATTTCATCCGCTTACCGCTTCATATAGATAAAATAATCCTCGAGTGTCTCCTCCGAAACAGAGCTCTTGCACACCTCCAGCTTGGTGGCCGGATAGTAGTGTATATAGTTGACGCACATCTCATCGCTAATGGAGAAGCCGCCGAGAGTGACATTCGCAGTGCCAAGCGTATTATAATAGCAGGTGGTGACCAATGCATCGCCCTGCAGAGCAACAGAGAGAAAGAGAAAGGGAGAGAGAGAGAGAGAGAAAGATGCAGAGCAGATTTACCCACTGCATATAGAGTGAGAGCATGAATTTAATGCTTACCGGCAGGACGCGGGGCTTGTAGTGCAGCGTGCGCATCTCCTGGAAGTGATGCGAATAGTAATCATCGCGATTTATCTCCCGCAGCTCCTGTTCGCCCCGGAAGTGTCTGGTCAGGATGCGAACGCCGCGCAAATGCGTATGCAGCTGCGATCCAAATATAATGATGCCCGTCTTTGGCAATGCGGCCCGTGTACAGTCCGCCACACAGTAGCCACTCAGTGGGAAGGCCGTCTGGCCAGGCGGTATCGCCATTTTGTCCGTATACTCGAGACCCAATTCCATGACGCCAGCATCGTATTGTCGCAGCGTCTTCGATAATTTAATGCGAAATCCAGAGTTGTCCATCAGACCTGCAGGGCGTATGATTAATATTAATGCAGGCGCACAGAAATTACGACGGACAGCAGCAGCTCCGTTGAAGATGCACACACGTCGTAACGCCCCCAGTCCCTAGAGACAGGCACAACTCAGCATCTCGTGCTCACGTGATTTAAGAACCATAACAGCTCGTGAGTGTGCGTAAGTCGTCGTCGTGACTTGTGACTTATTACATAATTATTGAAATGTAGTCAATAGTATCGGTTATTTTATATATAAATACACAAAAAAAAAAAAATATATATATATATATATATATATATTTATATATATATATTTAAAAAAATCTATATATACAATAGAAAAGCTTTTAATATTAAAAAATAATAATTATAATTAATATTACAAAATAATTTTGAAAATAATATATAGATATTTACAAGATTGTAATTTAACAAATAAGATATAATCCTACATAGAGCCGAAGGCCTGGTCGCTAGCGGCCTTATTATATACTTAGCTTTAATATTCTTGTGTATTATAGCTAACTTTGTAAAAAATAAAATAAAAATAATTTTGAAAACGGGCGTTACAGACTACAGAATATTCAAACGCTTCCAGATCCATTTTCCGATTTGCCACGCCCCCATAGGCGCATCGGTAAAATCATAACACTTTATCAGATGAGGTTGCCCCGAGTATATATTCTAGATTTCAAATCTCAAACTTCTATAACAATACCATAGTGTCCGGCTTGACAGACGGACAGACAGCAAGACTGACACCAATATATTTTAATTGGCTTTAATTTAAGAATAAAATCTAATAATTAAGAACAAAAATCGAAAACTGTATAAGCAGAGTTTGAAAATTAAATTTATTCCATTATTCAAATAAATAAATAAAAATAACCAAACGAAAAATTCAGAAATAAAAGAAAAAATTATTATTATTGCTCGTGTTATTTGAAATTCGACTCATCTCTAGCTGACACACAGACACACACACACACACACACGCTCAGAGCCACACACCGTGAGTAAGACATTGGGCTGAGTGGTTCAGTGAGTATGCTGTGTGGCCATGCATTGCGCTAGATGAGGCCATCGACAAGGATGTGTAAGGATATAAGGGGACACAAGGACACTTCAAGCAGCAATAATGACATTTTGCTTCAGCTCAGCGGCTTGTAGCAGTCGCAGTCGCAGTCACAGGCACAGGCACCGGCTCAGTCACAGTCACAGTCACTCCCCCTGTTGTTATTTATACAAAAGTTTTAATGAAATCAACCCTATACATACACCCAAATGTACGTCTATATAGCATACATACATATATACATCTCTGTTTTTGTATACTCTTATCAAAAAAGTGAAAAAGAAGTACAGGTGAGGAACACATCGCACAAAAGCAGCAGCTCAACAATCATCTAAATCGAATTACCCCTGGTAAATTGCCATTGTCAGTGTGAACACATTCTTGCCCCTTTGAGTTTCTTCTTCTCTTTTTAAGAAAAACAACGAAACATTGTTGGTAAATAAACAAAAATATCCATTGAACTATGCATGACTAGAATATACCCTCACCTGCAAATAGCTCTGACTTGCTGATTGAATAATAATTCTTCAATGCATGGAAACAATATATTTCTTGAATTTTTTTTTTTTTTTTTTTTTTTTGGTATTTCTGCATATTAATTCACTTCCTAGCTTTATTCCAATTTTATAAATTTTGTATATTTTTTAAGCTGTGTTTTCTACGTTTTTGTATCGATCTTGAGTTATTTAAAGTGATTCTGATTAACCAAAATTTGATCAACTGTATAAAATTATAAATAAAGCCTAAAGTCTTTAATCTCACACCTAGACTCTAGGCACCCACATATCACTATCGAAACATGAACGATTTTCTTGATCTCAATCGAGTTTTCTATAATATTTTATTCAACAATAAATATTTAACTTTTCCGTTGCAGTTCTTAATACTTTGGTACAGATGAAAATCTTGAGGATTTTTTCCTTTATCAGCTCAGCAAAATAATTCTTCTGATTTTTGCAATAACTTTTTCATTTCATTCCAATCTCAAGCCCAACTTTTCTTTGATCTTTGCACGAACTCTTTAGTTTTCTCTCTTTACTCACCCTCCAGTAGCTCTGGATTATTGAAGTGCACCTCGAGCCGCACGTAGGGATTGAAGCCGGAGCCACCGATTGGCAGGCCGGCTTCTGGTGGATACGTAAAGGTGCTGGCGCCCATGGCCCACAGTGCCATTACCTTGGAGCAGACCTTGGCTGCCGGGGGCAGCTGTTCGCAGTCGCCGTTGTAGAGTGGAATCTCAGCATGCTCGTCCGTTTCGCAGTGGAAGATCTCCATATGATGCACAATGCCGGGCGACTTGATGATTGGCTCGAACTGCACGATATGCATGCGATTCTTGACAAAGTCATCCAAACGCTGCACATGGCACCAGTAAGTGGTCTCTTGACTGGGCACCGGCGCTTGCTCCAGCGTGATTTCGATTTGCTCCAAGTCGCTGAGGAATAGCCAAGAGCGTAAGACCCATCCCCCTCAAGGCTAAAGAGAAGCCTCGCCATACTTACGTTTCGGGAATGAGGATCTTGTCGGCGCGCAGTAGCTGCAACATCTTCAGACCCGCCTCGTGTGGAGCCGTCACATTGGGCAACGCGAACTGATGATCCTCCAGAGCGAGCTCCGATTCGCCGCGTGCCCATACCACGTACATGGTGCCCTCCTGCAATGCACACAAACCAGGACATCACATATAGCAGAGAGTTTACCAAATTGGAAGTATATTGTTCCACCTACATGCAATCGCAGATCGAGCGGATCGCAGGTATCGAACTTGCGCTTGAAGGCCAGCGTGAATTCGTCCATTTTGAAGACCTCGCAGTCCTGCTGATAGTCCTTGCGCACCCAATGACCATCGGGGCTGGTGTAGGTGTCGGTGACCACATTGAAGAAGCCATTCTGATTCTCAAAGAAACAAATATCTGCATCGGCCAAGCCGCCACGTTTCGAAAAGCCCAAATAGAACCAACGATGCTGCTCATTGAACGCATTCTGCAAATGGAAGAGCACCTCCTGCTTATACCAGTCAACCATCCAGCTCAGCTTGATTTCCTTGTCATCCAGAAAGATCTCATGTAGCTTTGTGTCCGAGAGACCTGCAAAGTGGAGAAAAGAAGCAACATTTAGTAGGCCGAAAGTCTTCTATGAAACTAGGTAGCCCGAGTACCATAGACTCGAAGACCCAACGACTTTAGGCCCGTATATTTTGAGAAAGACAAGATAACCTTAGTATACTCAAGACACAATACTGTAAGACCTTAAGATCTAAAACCTGTATAGTATTATCATTTAGTGGCTTAAAGTTGTTCTCTTCAAGGTAACATCTAGAATATAGGCTTTATGACTGTATCATATAAAGCCTATATAATTTGCGTATAAAGAAATATTTCGGGGTCGACAGCTTTTATGGAGATGTTTTGGTGGATGATGGAGGGATGATGATGTTTATTAAATTATAACACAATTATAATTATCTCCAATATTTGTTATTTTGATTAAGCTCGTAGGATATTTATAATGTTACGATATATAAACGTGTAATGTGACGCGCTTAAAGCTTAAAGAGTAATATCACAATTCTTATTAACTAATGATGGTAAATTGAATGATTGTTTATTATCGATAGTATCGATTAAGAACAAGCGTGGTGGCAGATCGCCATACTTTTGACCACTTCCTAATCTGGGTATCCTCAGGATCCAAGACCTTAAGACCCTTAAATATAAGGGCAGTATATTAGAACTTAAGAAAGAGTTTTTAAAGAACCTTTTCAGATAGTTCTTGATATATTTATTAAGTTATTTGAGCATTAGCAATAGTTGAGTCGCTAGTTCAAGAATCTCCTCGATTCGTATAGAGTCCCAAATTACTTCACATAAATAGCTAATGATGGTCTCAGCTGCTGAGCACCAGCCTCTGTTTATTTAGTTTCTCAGTGAGCAAAAAAGAAACATTCTTAAGGCTTGCTTCGCCCACTGTCCGCCCAGTTGTCTGTTATTTGACTATGGCCTTTTGCTTTTTTGCTATTTTATAACAAGCTCAAAATGAATGATTGCAATACGAGCACAATTACGTGCGCTGGCCCCGTCCTGAAGTGGGTCGGTGCGGGGCGAATTTGTAGTACAAGCCAAGATAATCAAGTTGCCTCTGCACTAATTACCAAAAAAAAAAAAAAAAAAAAAAAAAAAAACAGAATAAAACAAGTAAGAAGACTCTAGTCGAGACTGCTCGACTAAGAGATACCCTGAACCCTCTAAGCTGATATTCTAATCATTCTGCACTTCTTTTATGCACACATACATACACATGCATCCACACGCACGCATAAGCCTGCGCTCTGCTAACTGCGCAGTAAGCAGCGACTGCGCTTGGGCTGCGCTGCAGTGTGGGCAATATGAGAATTTATTTGTCGAATAATTTCTTTTGTAGTCATACGATCTTAATGAAACTTTCAGAGTGTAATCATATGGTGAATATGTGTGTACATTTTAAAGCACAAGTCTCTAGTACTTGAAATGCGTTTTTTACAAATTGGGGGCGAAGGGGACGTGGTATCCAAAATCTGTAAATTACAAAATCTTTGTATAGATTAACTTTATATACAACGCAAATTTGAAGACAACAGGTCTAAAAATGTTCAAATTAAGCTAAAAAAACAAAATCAATTTTTCGATTATTCTCGATAAAAAAGTTATCGGACGATTTATCGAAAAAATAAAGCAAACTCGTACTGCGTATGGTACACACGAGTATGCATGCCAAATTTCTTCTCTCTAGCTCTTATAACTTCTGAGATCGACGCACTCATACGGACGGACGGACGGACGGACGGACGGACAGACGGACAGGGCTATATCGACTCAGCTCATCGCGCTGATCAAGAATATATATACTTTGTGGGGTCTGCCACGCCTCCTTCTGCCCGTTACATACTTTTTCACAAAACCATTATACCCTGATTTCCCATTTTCAATGGGTTCAGGGTATAAAAATAAAATATATAAAAACGAACAAAATAAACGTAAGCCAAGCCATGGCCTGGCAAGGACGAACGGCAAAGGAATTCAATCTTTCAGGCTGAATGTTATCTTCTCGACTTCGAACCGCAGTCGAGTCCGGTGCAGCTGTATGCGTAGCTCAGGTCATTAGATTTATGTTACCAAAGGACTCCCGGCCAGGCAACCGAACATCAATTACAACGACAACAGCATCTCAACCGGGCCGGACCCGGGTCGGAGGCGGCCAGAGGGAACTGCGACTCAGTGGAGCGGCAGTAACGAGAAAGAAAACCCAATAAAATGTCAAATCCAATTGGCAAGCACACACACACACACACACACACATACACACGTACTCACACACACACACACGCGCAGACAGACACAGCATGGATATCGTATAAACGTAGTTTGCAAAGTATATCAAACTGTTTGACAGCGAGCATGGACAGTGCTGTGTGGCATGGAGCCGCCGACGGGTGCCGCTGCCAGCCACATGGAGTGCAAAAAGCGACGCTGCAAACACTCGATTACAATCAAAAGTGACAGCGATTCGCTGCGTTTCGCCACTGAATTTATTGAGATAAACGAAGAACCGAGTGCCCAGAGCACACAGCCAAGAGCTGAGCATCGAAGGCGGACCTCTCCATGGAACTGGAGCTATGAATGGAGCTGTTGCTGCAGCTACCGCTGTCCATTGCCTTTTTTACGCTGACGAATCTCGTTTCCTCCCCAACTGCTTCCTCTTCATCTGCTTTTTTGGTGGACTGAAGTGTGCGCCAAGAGCTGTTCGGCAACTATGTTGATTATGACCAGGTATGAATTGGTCTAAATTGATAGCGAAGTGAATTTGGTTTGACTATATAGAATAGCTTAGATTTGGTGGAGTAGATTAGACTAGATAAAATATATCAGTCTTGATAGAGTAGATTAGACTAGATAGACTAGTTTATCTATCTACATAGAGTAGATTAGACTAGATAAATATAGATGATCTAGATCGACTAGGTAGACTAGATAGACTAATAGACTAGATCGGAAAAGATAAACTAGATAGACTAGATACATTAGATGGACTAGATCGGCTAGGTAGACTAGTTAAGCTAGATAGACTAGATAAATATAGATAAACTAGATCGAGTAGAAAGACTAGATAGACTGGATAGAATAGATAGATTAGATAGACTAGATTGACAAGATAGACTAGATAGACTAGATAGACTTGATAGACTAGATAGACTAGATAGACTAGATAGACTAGATAAACTAGATAGACTAGATAGACTAGAAAGGCTAGATGGAATAGATAAAACTTGATAGGGTAGATTATACTAGATAGGGTTGATATACTAAATAGACTACAAAGAGTAGATTCGACTAGATAGACTAGATAGGCAAGATAGACTAAATAAGTTAGGTAGGCTAGATCGACTGGATGGACTAGATAGTCTGGGTTGAGTATATAAGACCAGAAAGACTAAAAACACTAGATATACTATATAGCCTATACTATATACGCCTGAAGGTCCATGCAGAAGAGACTGATAATCAGCTAAAAGCTCTTTAGGTCTGAAGAAAGATTTATAGACTGAGAATCAGCTTAGGCACATTGAAACTTGAAAACTGGGCATGAGTTCATAGTTTCTCAGTCTAAGAGCCAAGTCTGCTTCAAGTCTAGAAAACCAAATTAAGAAATCTCCCTTTAAGTCAAGTTTACCCAAGAGCTCACCACATTCATATAAAGAGTCTGGAGACTCTAGAGTCTCTAGAGAGACGTTCTCGAAGGAGTCACTTTAAAGATCTTTCTCTCTCTTCCTGTTTCCCTCTGGCTAGCCAATTTCATAGTTTACAAAATAATTTGCAAATCCAGCTCTGACAGCTTCAGCTATCTATGATATATAAATTGCAATATCTGAAACAATTTTGTAAGCTGTCAATTCAAAGAATCAATTCAAAGCGCCATCTCTATAGTCCGGCACAGCGGAAGTAATTTGTACGCCCAAAAGAGCTGAAGTCCAGCGCTGAGGTGTAGTTCCAGTGAGTTTTTTGCCTTTGCTCTGCACTGTCTGGCACTAAAATTGATTTGTTATCCTACATATGTCTCACACACACACACACACATACACACACGCACAAGAACCAGGAGCATTGATAGAGGCACTCACATATATCATTTGCCAAACGGTGTCCGCGCCAACTCGTTTCTGTTTGTTTTACAACCGCAAAAAAAAAAAATGTGGAAAAAGTGGAAAATAGTAGCAAAAAGCAGAGGGAAAATGTGAGCAGAGTGAAACGTGTTCTCACACTGAATTTCCATTTGGCAAATGCTGCTTCTTCTTCTTCTTTTTCTTCTACTCAGTGGCATTGTCGACTCACTCGAGTGGAAATAACAACGCTTATAGACAACAAATTGCGCTCATTGTTCAGCTTCCTCTGCGTCCATTCCCATCTCCATCTCCATCACCATCTCCATCTGCATCTCGGCTCTCCTCTTTATCTGTTCAATTTATTATTCGCTTAACTTTCGAATAACTGAAAAATATTCACAATTTGTTATCACATATGATTGCATTGGCTCCCGATATAATACATTCCGAGTTGAGTTTGTATTATGCAAATGCCGAGCATATTAACTGAATCTACATAATTATTGAAGATAGCTCAACTGGAATATTCTCGGATTTTGCTATGCATAACAATTCCAATCAGTAGCTGGATAATGTATCAATTTTAGAGGGGAAGGAAAGAGAGAGAGAGAGAGAGGAAGCTTAATATACATAATATGCAGAAATTTATAGTTGAGCTGAGCTCTTGGGTATTGCGTTTCATCAGAATAGTGCGCCCTGTCCTCGTCCTCCATTAATGTTGAACATTTTGTATATCATTCAAGCTATGCTCATTCACGACAATGATATGAGCATATTGGTTTTGTGCAATGGCAGTTTTCGCCAGACCGGAAATTTAGAATATATGTTCATGGTAAACCTTCTCTACACACAATGGGTGCATTGTAAATCGAAATATGTCCCTTCCAGTATATCAGAAACCAGTTGAGATTTAAAATACTCACGTTGATAATTAATTAAAAAGATTTGACG